CATGTATCAGAATTCCTCATTCCACCACCACCTCTTTTTGCCTCTCTTTTGTGTTTTTCGTGTGTGTGCCTGTGAACTGCTTCTATCTCCTTTTCATACTTCTCTTATTGCTGAGTAGTATTCCGAGCTATACATTCCGTGGGTACTCCTTTGCATAATACATGTTTAGGTGGCTTATATTTTTAGTTATGGTGAATAAAACTATTATGAAAAATCTTATACAAGTCTTTTTATGCAGATATATACATTTTCATTTCTTGTGCATAAATACCTAGAACTGAAATTTCTTTGTCATAGGTTAGATGTGTGTTTAGCTTTAAGACACTCTCTTGGCCAGGCACAGTGGCTCATACCTGTAATCCCAGAACTTTGGGAGGCCAAGGCAGGAGGATCACTTGAGATCAGGGGTTCGAGACCCATCTGGTCAACATGGTGAAAACCCTGCCTCTACTAAAAATACAAAAGTTAGCCAGGCATGGTGGCGGGTGCCTGCAGTCCCAGCTGCTCCAGTGGCTGAGGCAGGAGAATCACTTGAAACCAGGAGGCGGAGGTAGCAGTGAGCATAGATTATAGCATTGTACTCCAGCCTGGGTGACACAAGACTCCATCTCAAAAAAATTAATAAATAAATAAAAATAAAAATAAAAAGGACACTCTCCAACCATGTGTTTGTTTTCCATCCAGATCTCTGCGTCAGACATCCAAACTTCATATTCCTTGAAACGGAAGGTATCTGTCTCCCTTTCCGTATCTCTCCTCTTGCCTCATTCCCTGAGAAACTAGAACCAGAAAAGTAAAAGAACAGAGCTGTCCCCCACCTCCGAGTGTCCACAAGCATCAGAGGGAATGGAGAAGAGAATAATTCATCCAGTATGAGCTGGAAGTCTTCATGAGCCCCAGTAAGCTGGACTTGAGTCTGAAAGTGATGAGAAAACTCTGGGTTCTGCCCTAAAACGTGTTCTGACCTGGGGAGGAAGCTGAGTGGGACACACTGAGGGCAGTAGCCGCAGATATCATGGGCCCCATTCAAGCTGACACCCCAGGGGACTGTTCGCTAATCATCAATACTGAGCCCTCCTCGCAGCTCAGGCCTCAGCCCCTGCTCCACACCCCCTCCTCATTTCTCTGGGTCTCTGACCCCTGGCTGCCAGCTGAACTAGCCAGGACAATGGACAAGATTCAGGGTGAAGGAGACAGATTCTGAAGAGACGGTAAGGACAAAGAAGCCATAGGGAGCTGGGCGTTGAAAACAAAAGTTTGCTAGATTCGAAGCAGACCACGTGGGGTTGCTTCTAACCACTGCGTTTGACTTTGCTCACACTATGCCTCGGCTGATTTAGGGCTGTAGCTTCTCGGGACTACTAGGGACCATGCCTATGCTTCCTGTAGGACCCCATAGGACCCACCCAAAGTCTGCACCTGGCTGGTCTTGGCAATGCCTGTTCAATGTTAGTGGCACATGACAACATCTCTGACCACATCAGGAGGGGCCGTGGCCTCAGCATTCAGAGCCACCCACCTTGGAAGAGGAAAAGGGGCCCTGAGGCTTGGCTTCCAGCCACAGACTAAGTATCTGCATAAGGCAATTGAGAAGATGTGGCAATGAGTAATTAAACAAATTAGTCAGTGCAGACGTCTTCACAAAAGCCAGGTAGAATCAATGGGGCGCCTATGCATTAGCGTCCTGTCCCTAATGGCCTCGGCTGCTCCCGGCTAGCTGCTCCTCTGAGAGCAAACCACAGCTCCCTGCACCCAGGGCTGGGCACAGTGCTGAGCAGGGCTGGCGGGGTCACAGCCAGCGACTGCAGAAGCCAGGCAGGCTGCTCCAGTGGGCTCCATCAGAGACTTGGCTGCTCCTCTGCCAGTGGACAGAGTGGCAGCTGCCCACCAACTGTTCCTCCCTCTCTTCCCCATTTTCTCACACATTCCTGTCCCTGGAGTCTCCTTCCCTGCTCTCTTCACCTAGCTGATGCCTAGGTATCCTTTAATACTCGCCCAGCATCACCTCCTCCAAGAAGCCTCCTCGGATCCCACAGGTTGGATAGGGCCCTTTTCTGGACTCCCACGCCCACCACGGGTCAGTCTCCCCGGGAAGCTGGGCTCTGCTTTTGGACGAAGCCAGGCCCCAGGTGAAAGAAGTCTATCTTCTGCTTGTCTCAAGCACAGGGGCTCTGTCTCAATGAGGGTAGTTGGGATGCAAGCAACAGAAACCCACTCTTGGGTAATTTTAGGGGAAGAGAAGAGTATGCTAGAAGGCTAAGGCATGCTCAGAAAATCACAAGGACTGCTGAATGGCCTCACCTAGAACAGGGATCAGGCAGTTCCAGGGCTCCAGCTAGCAGGAAGTACCAGCGGTCTCTGGGGGTGCACTTGGGGGAGAAAGGCACAGCCACCATTTGAGTCTCTGTGTCATCAGCCCAAGGCTCAGACTTCAAATTCTCTGGAGAAAGAGATTGAGGGTCTGAGTTAACCATGAGCCCCATCCCTTTGGTCGAGGTGGAGCCAAGCTCCATGTCTGGTAGACCCTCACATGTATGTATGTATGTATGTATGTATGTATGTACGTATTTATTATTTATTTATTTATTTATTTATTTATTTATTTTTGTGAGACAGAGTCTCACACTGTCACCCAGGCTGGAGTGCAATGGCACAATCTCGGCTCACTGCAACCTCCGCCTCCCGGGTTCAAGTTATTCTTCTGCCTCAGCCTCCCGAGTAGCTGCAATTACAGGCTCACACCACCATGCCTGGCTAATTTTTGTATTTTTAGTAGAGATGGGGTTTCACCATATTGGCCAGGCTTGCCTCGAACTCCTGACCTTGTGATCTGCCCACATCAGCCTCCCAAAGTGCTGGGATTACAGGCGTGAGCCACCGTGCCTGGCCAACCCTCACATGCATTCATTCATTTACCCCTCAGGAACAATCTATGTATAGGTGCCACTATTATTACCTCCCACTTAACAGTTGAGGAAAGCAAGGCGTGGGAGGTTAAGCAGCTTGCTTGAGGTCACACAGCTAGTGGGTGGCAGTTGGGAAACAGGAGCAGCCAGGCCAGCCCCTGACCCATCCTTAAGCTACACGGCCCCTGGGATGGTATGCTAAATGCGTGAGTGTTGAATGAGTGAGAGAATAAGCTAGTAAACTGACAGAAGGTTGGCTTCTCTCGAAAACAGCTGCTTCCTGGTGCATTACTGCTTTCCGAGCCAGATGTGGGTGGGTGTTTGGCCCTGGCTGATGGATGGCTGATATTTCCAGGGGAGAAGAAAGGATGGAATACCTGTCATTGCTGAGGTAATTATTTCTCCCTTGCTGGCCTTTCGGCCAAGCTGCAGCCTGAACAGTCACTGTTCTTTCTCCAGCATTTGCAGCAAGAGCTTAGGAAAAGAGGAGGTGGAGAATCTGTGTTGTTCTGGATGGTCACAGAGGAAGACGCAGCTTTAGAAAATGGGCCAACAGCTGGGCACAGTGGCTCATGCCTGTAATCCCAGCACTTTGGGAGGCCAAGGCAGGCAGATCGCTTGAGCTCACTAACAGAGCAGGAGCATCACCATCTTGGACAAACACTGACATTTTAAGTTCCTCTTGATTAAAAACCACCTAAATCCACCCCAAAAACATCAGCCTGTGGCTAATGTCAACATGATCATAAACCACAAATGACACCTCCAACCAGAAACATGCCAACCCGAGATAATTTCCCTGATGACCAGAAACCTTCCCACCCCAAAATAAAACTCTCCTCCAATCAGAAATATTCCCAACCTGTGATAAGCTCTCCCTCCCTAAACCCGTAAATACCCTTAGTCTATAAGAGAGAACGCTCCTGGCAGAAATCAGCTAGAAGCCCCTCTCAGGTTTATTCTCCAAAATAAATCTGTCTTTGACTATAGAGCTGCTTTTCATGTTTCTTTCTTCCTTCTTCAGGTCTTACATTTGGTGCTGAAACCCAGGACATTCCAAGGAAGGGCTCCAACATTCCAAGCCACTGTCCTTACATGCAAGGTATGTAGGAAAAGTAAAACATACTTTTGGTAGAAAGATTTCAGGGAGGCATGAGAATGTGGATTTTTGCCAAGTTTAAAATGTTAAAGGATTTTTTTTCAGTTGGATAAAATAAAAATGAAGGTTTGGGCTAGTTGTGAAAAGTTGATTTTAGAGGCAGTTCTGTGTGTAAACATATTGACTAAAGCTAACGGGGTATCCTCCAGTTTTTCTGTAAATTAAATTTTATTAAAATAAAAGCACAGTGAGTTTCTCTTAGAGCACTAACCTGCTCTTTAACAAAAACTGTAAAGGGTTATAGAAAGTCTATAAAAATCTTACCTTGTGGTCAAACATTAAAATTGAGTAAATACGTCTATAAGGATTTATTAATTGGGTTTAACATTCATAGTACACTAATGTAAAGGCGAAATTTGGCTTATTTGGTATAAAACTTATACAGAAAACATTATCAAATACGAAATGGTGTTTGGCTTTCTTTGGGCTATATTTGTGTAGATATGTTTTTGGTATGTGTTCCAAGGTTGTAGGAGACTCCTACAATCCAGATATGTTTTAGTGTATATTATCAGTAATAATTATAATTGTTACGTTAAAATTGTTGTGTGCCACGTAGGTAACAGATTTCCTTGTCAATTGTGTCTTTAACTGTGGCTACCCTAAAACTTTTTGTCATCCATGAACAATTGTTGTCTTGTTTTGGTCCTCTTTAGCAGGTGGTTTATGACCAGCTATAAAGCTCTGGCAGGTGCTCTTGAATGCAGGTTTCTGACAACTTTGGAGATTGTGACATTAGAATAGAGGAAGGACGTTCAGGACTCTTGAAGAGCTGAATGTTCATTGATATCAGGCAGGATGGGAACTGACCGCATGAACTGAACTAATAGACTGGAGTGATCTTTTTGATGTTTTGCTCAGAATATTGCTGGTCCTTTGTTTGCTTTTCAGAGTCAAAGAGACTTTTCTTTTGAGCTATCAACAGCTTTTGACAGTTTGACAGTTTGATGTGCTCCCATGAAATTTGAGGCATGCTTGTTTCTCTCTGCCTGGTTTTCTCCAGAGTCTGGAAATTACCTGTGAGTATTCTTACATTATGGCAGTACAGTTATAGGCTGGAGTGCAGAGGCACGATCTCAGCTCACTGCAAGCTCCGCCTCCTGGGTTCACACAATTCTCCTGCCTTAGCCTCCCGAGTAGCTGGTACTACAGATGCTTGCTACCACATCTGGCTAATTTTTTTGTGTTTTTGGTAGAGACAGGGTTTTACCGTGTTCACCAGGATGGTCTTGGTCTCCCAATCTCGTGATCTGCCTGCCTCAGCCTCCCAAAGTGTTTTTTTTGTTTGTTTGTTTTTTTGAGACAGAATCTCGCTCTGTCTCCCAGGCTGGAGTACAGTGGTGCGATCTTGGCTCACTGCAATCTCCACCTCCCGGGTTCAAGCAATTCTCCCTGCCTCAGCCTCCAGAGTAGCTGGGATTACAGGCATGCACCACCATGCCCAGCTAATTTTTGTATTTTTTAGTAGAGATGGGGTTTTGCCACGTTAGCCAGGCTGGTCTTGAACTCCTGACATCAGGTGATTTGCCTGTCTCTACCTCTCAAAGTGCTGGGATTACAGGTGTGAGCCACTGAACCCAACCAAAAGTCTGTTTTCTTTTATGGCAGGACACAATTGGAAGAGCTGGTTGTTTTACCAAGGCTTTGACAGGAACGGTGTGCTTTCCTTTGAGGAATCAAACTTGACTTGTGAAGCCAGTGGAGCCCTTGGATGGCAGGCCTCATATTTTGTGCACACGGTCCCTGTGCAAGATTCTGACCTGAGGTAAGTAAAAGAATGTCACGTTCTGACAGGCCAGGAACCCCAGGTTATCTTGGAGCCTCAAGAGGAGAAGAATTCACCCAACTCATAGGTATTTGATGGTGCAGTTCCATGGCTGGGCCTGGCTTTAAAAAGGTCTTATCTCAGATTTCTTCCATGGAACAGAGATTTATTGCAGCCAATTTAAAAGGCCTATGTAAAAGTAATTATTCTTGCTGCACTTTATACAAATAATCCGGCCCACAGCCACATGCAGTGGTTCACATCTGTAATCCCAACACTTTGGGAGGCTGACACGGGTGGATCACCTGAGATCAGGAGTTAGAGACCAGCCTGGCCAACATGGTGAGACCCCATGTCCACAAAAAATACAAAAATTAGCTGGGGATGGTGGCGCACGCCTGTAATCCCAGTTACTCAGGAAGTAAGGCTGGAGAATCACTTGAACTCAGGAGGTGGAGGTTGCAGTGAGCTGAGACTGTGCCATTGCACTCCAACCTGGGCAACAAGAGTGAAACTTTGCCTAAAAAAAAAAAAATCGATCCTACCATGATTTGTCTTTTAATAAAAATGGAAAACTGGAGAGAGACAATTGTGTTTCAAAAACTATAGCACACCTGTTGTTAAATTTCAGTATTGCCTGAGGTTTTTAAATTTTTATTGTTTTCTACACTTTGGCTTAAATTCTAATTTTTCTGGCTACAAGTCTCAAAATAATGTTTTCAATTTTTCCTTTTTCTTCTCCTTCTTTCCCTTTCTTTTTTTTTTCTAGCTGGAGATCACTATAACCTAAGCTGTGCTTTCTTGAAGCCCTGTGAGCTGAAGATTAGGTGTTTCAGAGGGTGCTGCCTCTGGGCTGCCAAGGTAGAGAGTGCTACCAGGAAAAAATCAACCTCTTCCACTCCAGCACTGTGTTCACTGTCCCATAACAATGACGACCCTCTCTCAGCAGGAAGTAGATGGAAAGAGCATACCGCCCCTCATCCTTTTATAACTATAGAATCTGGATTGACAAAGCAAGAGCATCGCCATTTTGACAAACACTGACATTTTAAGTTCCCCTTGATTAAAAATCACCTAAATCCAGCCCAAGAAAACATCAGCCTAATGGCTAATGTCAGCCTGACTATAAACCACAAATGACACCTCCAATCAGAGACATTTCAACCCTGAGATAAAGCCCCCTCTGACCAGAAACATTCCTACCCCACAATAAAACTCTCCTCCGACCAGAAACTCCAAACCTGCGATAAGCTCTTCCTCCCTAAACCCTTAAATACCCTTAGTCTGTAAGAGAGAATGCACCTGACCAAAAAAAAAAAAATCGTCCAGAAGCCCCTCTCAGGTTTATTCTTCAAAATAAACCTGTCTTGGACTGTTGAGTCACTTTTTGTGTTTCTTTCTTCTTTCTTCAACTCTTACACTCAGGAGTTCAAGACCAACCTGGCCAACATGCAAAACTCCATCTCTACAAAAAACACAAAAAAGTAGCCAGGCCTAGTGGTGCACACCTGTATCCTCAGCTACTTGGAAAGCTGAGGCTGGAGGAATGCTTGAGCCAGGGAAGCTGAGGTTGCAGTGAGCCAATAGCGCACTACTGCACTCCAGCCTGGGAAACAGCATAAGACCTTGTCTAAAAAAAAAAAAAAAAAAAAATGGGCCAAAGATGGTGAGACCCAGCTTGGCGGCAGGGTCTCCCAGCTCCCGTGAGCTCAGTTCAGGGCTTCTTCCAGGATCAGAACACAGACATCACTGTAAACATGGAAGAAGAAGGACTTTGGAGGAGATGTTAGTTAGTCCACTTCTGGAGGACCAGAAGTGGAGGACTGCCCTATCCTAGACCACAACGTTCTCTGATGATTGTCCTGCTGAAGATGCACCCCATGGATGGGGCTCCCCTGAAGTCTGTGCACAGCCCCAAAAGAGGTATATGTGGTACATACAGGGGAGAAGCAGGGCCTGAGACAGAGAATGGGCCCTGGGGAGGGAGGAGGGTTTCCTCCTCCTTTGGGGGTGTGATTGTTGAGTTCTACACCCACAACGACAGAGCGGATGTGCTTAGGAGTGTGCTTATGGGGAGGGAAACCTGGACCCTAACCCATTGGAGGCTTCCATGGTCAGACAGGCAGACAGGCCCAGCAGGACCCAGGGCCTGGGAGAGGGGCCCCGTCCACCACCAGCGGTGCTGAAAGTCTGAATGTCCTTCCTCCCAGAGCCTGGGCCTTAGAGAAGACATGGCCAAGACTATGCTGGGCCCTGGGAAACCCTAAGATGGGACAAGCAGGACAGCAGGTAACAGACACTTAGTTCCTGCATGGGAGTGAAAATTAGAATTTGTTGGTCTTTAGTATTGCAAATGTGACTTCATCTTCAACTTAAAAGTTGAAAGGACCAGGAGCACTGGGGGTCACTTACTCAGTAACACCCTCCCCTGGGCCCACCGTGCAGCCTTCCCCTCCTAGCCCGCAGGTGTGCCCGCCCCGCAGGTATGCCCACCCACAAGTGGGCCCATCCGCAGGTGTGCTCTCTCCAGGCTTTGCCCAGCGCCCCCCAGGCCTTGCTGGAGTCCCACAGCCCTTCTGCTGCCCAGTGCTGCCTGGGGCAGGGCAGGAGGCCATCTGTCCCAAGGCAGTTTGAGCCCCTGTGCCCAGGAGTCTCCATGTCCCCCCAGGACTGGTTGGGCAGAAGGAACATGACAAAACGAAGAGCCAGGAGAGCCAGGACAGCCAGGCAGGGAGAGGCGGAGACGGCCCTGGAGCCAGCAGCTGCAGGCCCAGTCTCCCAGCCTAGGTGCTTGCATTACCCTTCACAGGGCTGTGACTACCTGTGACTTCCCTCGACCCGCACACCAGCCCTCGGAGGCAAGGATATTGTCCCCACTGAAAGCAGGGATTGTTGAGGCTCAGAGGCTGAGTCAGCACCGTGCGGGGCTGGGTTATATGAGTACAGACCTAGGGCCTGGAGAGACGCCGTGGCCGGGGCAGAAGCAGAGGCACGGGCCGAGCTGCCCTGGAGCAGGGCCTCGTCCGAGTGTGGGGAGCTCACTGGGGTGATCTAAGCTGGCTCCCCTGGACCCCAGAGCCCCTTCTCAGACAGCCAAAAGGCCAGTGTTGGTGTTTGAGAGGGAGGTGCTGCTGAGGAGCGTGGTCTCAAAAGGGACGTGCTCCCAGGGACCCGAGTCACGCAGTCTCCTTCCCATCAGGACTCAGGGGGCCCCAGCCCTGTCTTCACTCTGAGGGCCTGGCACCAGTCACTTCTGCCCCAGCTGCGGCCCTCCCTCTGGCCTCCCGGCTCTGGCTTGGCGTGTGGCCACAGCGACCCCGCCTCTGCCCTGCCCGGACCCATCGCCCTGTGCGGTCACTGCCTGTTTCTTGTCTGCTTCCTCCCCCTCATGGCTGCTCAAGCCAGGGCTGCTGGCTATCCATCTCCGGAGCCCGGCCCCCCATGGGGCCCACACACAGAGGGTTTTGCTGGGTCAGACAACGGCTGGTCCTGGACTCTTCACACCCCACCCAGCAGCCAGGACACAGCCTGGGTGGGCAGACTGACCTCCTGGGCACAGTGTCCTCAACATCCACTCCCAGGCACTGCCAGGCACTGGCGGCTGCTGGTCACCACAGAAATGGCCACAGTCAGGACCCAGGGCTCCTGCTGGTCTGTGCTGATCCCTGATGGCACTGCGTCCCGAGAAGAAACCCAGCTCTTTCCAAGGAGCCATGGAAGGAAGGCAAGAAGGCTGCCTGGGAGACTGCAGTTTGCTGCCGAACCGTGGGCCTGCAGTTGGAGGGGGCTCGTGGCCCACCCCACCCCTCTCTGGCCACCTTTGCTCCCCGCACCCTCTGTCTTCACACGGGTCTGAAGCTCCTCACTGCTCAGGCCCCATATGAGGACAGCGGTCTGCAGTGCCGCACGGCCTTGCCGGAGGAAACACAGGGTGAGAAGCCACACAGCTGACTAATTGCTCACCTAATAAGGACTTCTGACCACAGCACATCACCGCTCTGTGGTGCCAGGGCTACTTCGGCCACCCCACAGTGGCAGGTCCCTGGGCGGGCGGCTCTGTCTTGCCCTGCTGGTGGCAAGATGGCTGCAGGGGCACCAGGCACCATTTCTAGCACAACTGTGTTCAACACTGGAAGTGAGGGTAGGAACAAAAGGGATTTCTTCATATGAGTCTCTGTCTTGTCCAAGCAGGAGAATTCTTTTCCAGAGCCTCCTTAGCAGGTTTTCCTAACACTGCACTGGCCTAACACTGCATTCCTAACACTTACCTGTGGCAACCAGTCCTTCACAGGACTGCCATGACAGCCTTCAGCCAGTCACAACGCGTCCCTGAGGCCCAAGGACACCGCTGCTGGGCAGTCAGGGTGAAAGGCAGGAGGCTGTCGGGGACCAACGCACATGTCTGCCATGGGGGTCCATCCGGGGCTCACCACAAGCTCTTCTCCCTCACTTCCCACCCTTGGTCTCTGCGTAAACGCGGCTCACTTCGCCTGGGACGCTCCTCTCTCCCACACCCTCTCATCCAGCTGAAGTGACCTCAACCTTCAGGGCTCACCTACTGCCTGACTGCAGGACTGGGCCGAGGTCTCCCCCATGCCCCTGCCGCTGACTCCGGTACTGCAGCGACCCATCACAGTGGGGACTTGGTGCTCCCCAGGGCTCTGCTGGCACTGTCCACTCAGAGGCCCTGCGTCCGCTCTTCCTTCCTCCCCTCTGCCTCTGAACCCCACCCATCCTCCTGGGACCACCTGAGCCGCTGCCTCCCCTGTGAAGCCGCCCCCTCCGCAGAGAGGCCGCCTCTCTTCCCTTCTGTGCCCACCTAGCCCACTTGTCACATGATCCCTCTGACGGCGGGTCTTCCGGAACATGCCTGTTGCCCTCGGCAGCTCCCCAGGAGCTCAGACCATATCTGTGGCCCTCACCACCCTGATAAGTGCCTTTTCCAAGGCTGAGGGATCAGAATGAATATTAGATTAAACCCGTAGCCATGACCACCTGACCTCATGAGGGTTTTGGTGGACGCGTGCCTCACAGGCCTTGGCTCTAAACCCACACACAGTAGTACAGGGCCAGGTTACCCGCTCTCCACCACTGAGAACGGAGACGCCGAGAGGTCTAGCAAGCAACTCGCCCAACGTCAGGCATGAGGCGGCCCCAGAAATGGAGCTCGCATGTTTCCCACCATGCCAAGGAGGCAGGCGGGAAAGTCAGAGGGAGGCTGTGACCAAGGAGTGTCAGATGAGGATGCAAGGGAGGGAAGGACAAGACAGTGAGGCTGGTCAGAGGGCAAAGTCTGGATGCCCCCACAGAGCCCCAGCAGCAGCCCCACTGAGCCCACACCGGGTGGAGGTGAGGAAAAGGCAGAGGCACTTAGGCCGCAAGTGCTAAAGTGGGCCAGAGCCCATGCTGGGCACGGGACACCAGGCTGGCCAAGCCACCCAGGGCCCACCGGTGGTTGGGGAAATGGACACGTGCCATAAAGCAGTGAAACAGGATGGAGAAGTGCACCGCTCGCCCAGGAGCCACGGGGGAACGTTAGTAACACCACCTGCCCTGCACAGGCCTAGGCCCCAGTCCTCACACACACCCCATCCCATTTGAGCCCGCACAAGCTGGGGAGTAGGAATTGTCATTTCTGTGTCACAGATGAGCCAGGCTGAGGCAGGGCAGGACCGAGACCTTGCCCCAGAGCCCCGTCAGTCAGCGGCCTGACCAGGAGTTGGACACAGGCCTGCTAGCGTCACACCACCACCTTTGCTTAGAGGCCACTTGTCTGTCCCAGGCAACCTTTGTCCACGACTGAGCCCGGAAGCTGGCCACGGCCTTGTCCACCCAGGAAGCTGGCAGCCTCCTTCCGCCTCGAAGCTTTTCCAGCTCTCCCGCTTCTAATACCAAGTAGAATCTCTTTTCCTTTCAACGATGACTCATAAGATGAAATGAGGCGTTTTGGAGTAAATGATGATGGGACTGAATTCTTCAAACTCCTACAGGTTCTGAAATGACTTTCATTTGTTTATGTTTGGCATTAAGCATTGAAATGGACAGAGGGTTCACAGGACTTACATTAATTTGTGAAATGTCTCTGGGTTCCACACTCCAGCCCAGGACCAGCTGTCATCTAAATGTCTAGGGACCTCAAAACCAGTGCTGACTTCCCTGTGCCAATTAATCCAAACTGTCTTTCTTGCTGATGGTTTTGACAGCTTGGGTTTTGGTTCTGCAAT